TGGGTGGGTAGGGGTGAGTCCTTCAGTCAGTCTCAGAACAAAACAGGATCTATCCATTTGTTCAAAAAGTGTTGTTTCATAGGCATTCACCAAAAATGACATCCCCATTTATTCCTCAGAAGTCCATTAGTGTGCTTCCCTTATAAATTAATAATAATTCAAAGTCTCATTGGAGCCTCTGTGTGTCTGTTCATAAAAGAGGTCCACGGGTTTTCAGTGTGTTGTGACCCAGTTTGCAGCACTGGCAATAACTTACTTTGCAACAAGATGGGATAGAATGATCCAAGTGTGTCCTGTGAAAAAGATATAACAGTGAAAAGCCTCATTGAAGAGGCCACCTAGAATGATAACTCAAGAAGAAGAACGGGATAGATGCTCTGTATATATAATTCTTATACACGTTAAAGCTTTGGAAGCCCACAAAGAAGATAGGCCTTTCATGGGAGACCCGGGGGGGAGGAGGGGGCAGGGGAAAAGGCTGATCCATCTGTGAAAATAATATAATGGCCAATTCTGATGTGGTAGCCTCAGGATCCAAATGCTGACTGTTTCTCTGACTGTTTGTCCTGCACAGCATCTCTCTGGTAGAGCCTGGCCCTATAAACACCGAATTTGAGATGAAGCTGATGAAGGAAGTGGCTCATTCTCAGTTCCCAGGAGCTGATGCTGCTACTGTGCACTACTTCAAGGAGATCTACCTACCAGCCTCACATGAAATATTCACCACCCTGGGCCAGTCCCCTGAGTCTGTGGCTAAGGTAGGAGCAATCTCACAAGTGATGTGAGAGGCCTACAGAGGGAAGGTTCTTCTACATCTCTTCCAGATAGATCTTGCTTACCAATTCTGTTGTCATCACAGAAAGCAGAATCCATTCTCTTCCAGTGATCAGTATTGGCAGCAGTGCCTCCCTTCCCACTCTCATCTGCCTACCCTGTTATGCATCTAGTATTTCATGAGTAGGTGAGCAAACAGCAAGCTGCCTCTGCTTTAATCAAGCTTTTTACCTGATGTTCCTGAATGACCTGCCAAGACTCTTGTTATGTCATACCCCACTTTCTTGTCTGTTTTGATTGGTTCAGGCTCTCCAGGGGCTCAGCCAAGGCTTTCCTAGTCCTATTAACCTAAGACCTTTTTAACTGGAAATTCAAGGGACTGACCTGGGTGCAATACAATAAGTTCTACCCTTGAGCTATGGCTTTCTGATGAAGATATAAATTGTAAGTCAATCTTACACTTCAGGAACCATGGCTCTAATAGCAAGGAGGAGACAGAAAAAAGGATGTCCATGAGAGGAAGTCAGCTCCACTAGGGGATCGTTTTAATGATAAAGCAGAAGAGAAATGATTCGGATGAATACTTTTAAAAATATATCAACACACCAATCTCTTTCCACCTTGCCTTTCAACAGGTTGTTGTGAGTGTCATCGCAAAAGAACGCCCACCATTCCGGACCCAGACAAACCCTCTGTACACACCATTGGTGGCCCTGAAGTATGCCGACACCTCAGGTGAACTGTCTGTCAGCGCCTATTACAACCTGCTTTTCCGCTTCACCAGACTTTTCTACTTCAGCACAAGCTTCCTCAAATGCATTACATGTAGGTGTTTTCGGCGCCAGATCACACCTACCTGAGACCAAGTGGAGAATGGCCTTGATGGTGGTGTACCCTCATCCCTCAACTGTCTTGCTAAACTACAAGGAATAAGCAGATTCCTCTATGTGTTTGAGAGATTTTACTAGGGACAAACCCACTCTTGTTTTAAGGATAGTAGATTCTGGTGATCGTATAGTGTGAGGTCAGGGTGATGGGAGGTGGCAGATCAAGCAAGTTCTTCAGGACTAGCAGGTTGATTCCATAGCAAAGCCAGAAGGTCCAAATGTCCTGCCCCATGGGCCCTAACACTGGGAAGAGCAGAAGCCCAAGATTCATCAAAGCATGTTCTTGCAATGGTAAATCATGATATTACTTCCACCAAATGCAGCTTTGTAACACAAATAGGAAAGTAAAAGCTATGAAATGCCTTGATTGGAAACTCTGGACCAGCATCCACAAGCTCCCTCTGTGGTCCCTTGACCAGTTTTAGACCCTCAACAGCTGCCGTTCTTGCTTTTTTTTACTTAGCCAAAAGGAAACGATGACAAATCATACAAATGAGTACAATTACAAATAGGAACTAATTTGTCACTCTGAATCCAAAAGAAATTGCTTGGCATACCTACTTTTAGTGACTAGAGTAGGATGAGCAATATTTTTTCAGGTTAGGTCCCCCAACTCAGCTTTCCAACTAGCCACAGGTGGCCTTTTGGCAATGTGGCAAAATCACTGGATGACCACAAGGCTGAAATTCTTTAGCTCAACTTTGGGGGTTTTTTTTAGCTTTGGGGGAGTTTGAAGGTAGGCAAGGAAGTTGCATGTTGCCCACCTCTGGACTAGAGTCTAGCTTGTACAAAAGTTGTTGGTAATGTGCAAAGTTCTTCACTCTACTGCCTGTTCACTTGATTCTTATCCCGCCCTGGTGACCTTCATGGATATAAGGAAAATCATGAATTATGTTCTTGATATGGCCTATGAATGCTGCTCTTTTCCCAGACCCATGTGATTTTCCAAAAGTGATGTTACTTATTTTAGTATGAGCAACTATCTGTCATTCTGAGCTTTCCTACAGAAACAAAGTAGAGATGCAAAGATGATAAACATGTCAATTTAACTTATTCTTGGAATGGGGAGGTGGCCATTTAGATTACCTTTAATAGGACCACCAAAACGGGACAGCTGTTTTGAGTTCTCTAGAAGTCTTTTGAAAGGGAGAAGCTACAAAAAGCAGGCAATGAGGAAGAAACTAGCCTTGATTTTTGCTCTACCTCATCTGAAGAAGGGTTCTGGAATGCTTGAAAGACTACACACTTTTTTGTGTAATCTTGGTTGGCCATAATCAAAATATTAACCAACTAGGAATATCTGTCTTTGAGTGCATGAGTACACAAACATATGTCTGCAGGTAAGATGCCTTCTAAGATAGGGCTAATTTCAACACCATTACAGGGCTAGCTCCAGGTTTCTCTGGATTGTCTACAGGAAAGCAGAGCTCCATTCTGTGGGCCTGAGTGCCCACAGACTTTCTACTATAGCAGCAAAGGAGAGTAGACCTATTGCTGTCACACTTGAGGCCTTTTCCTCCTGGGCCACTAGGTGGCAGCTCCTGTATTTGAATACTCCAATCCAAGGAACCAAGAAGGTGCCTTTAGCAGCTACAGATCTACCTTTTCTTCATTGTAATTCCTTTGCTCTCTTCACTACTAGGGTGTAGTAGTTGGGCAGTGGCTCAGTGGCTACTAATTGCTCCATTCTAACTACTGTTCCTGGTCATGTGACCCACAGCAATGCTATTATTAAAGACCTGTAAATAATTCCAGAAGCTCTGGCCTGTCTGTTTTCCCTACAGGGACAATGTTATTCTTATATGTGATTTAATCTCATAACTAAGTAATCCATTGCGATTAGAAAGATTGGTATATTTCTTTAATCAGGAGACTGCAAATCTGGTTGCCGCCCTTCTCATTTGGCTGGTCTCCTCAGCTTTCAGATGGATGTGCATTCAGCAGAAGTGGTGTCCAGGAAGATTTTTTTAATCGGGAAAATAAAGCAATGGGAATTCTGATGGTCTCAGTCTATATGTGTGCATCAGGGAAGAGCATACTGTAATCTGGTAATCCCATAGTAAACCTCCTAGTGGATTTCCTTCAGTACCCTTGACTAAATGCTTCAGTCTTAATACTGCACAGACTGCAGAAACAAAAGCAGCCCTTTATTGAATACAATCGTTCTCCCAAGTAGCAGGCATCTCTTTAGTTCATGGCCTCAGTCATCATCCCTGTGAATTTTGGGGTCTTGGAAAGTAGAGTCTGCTACCATTTTAACTTCTTCTCCACCTATTTGCTTTGGGTTGGCATTGGCTGTTGACCTAGTAATATTAAGCAGCAGTCTGGCATTTGTACACTTTTCTTTCATCTTCAACAAGTGATTCTTTCAGTATTCCTTGCTTCCAGCCAAAATGGTATCATCAGCATATCTGAGGCTGTTGATACTTCCCTCAGCAATTATGATTCCAATCCTTATTTCTTCTACTCCAGCATGGAACTTCTGTTGCTAGAACTATGTCATCTTTGGTACTGAATGGGGTTGCACTGCCCCAGGCAGACCCTGTGTACAATCTGGGGA